ATGTGACTGTAAAGTCTCAGGACAAATGCAGGGCAAATAAATGATGAAAGGTTCCCAGTGGGAAGAGAAATGATAAAGAACCAGTGATATCTGACTAGAGGAGGAAAACAATACTGATACTCAGTAGAAAGCCATAGAGAAGCATGAGGTTTCATTTCACGTGTCTTCTTAAGAGTCTGGCTGTGATGACAAGAGTGACGGGACCTAGTCCAGGTCCTGAGAGAAGAACTAGCCCAACTGATTGCTAATGTGCCCTGTAGATTTGGGATGGGCTTTCACAGGAGCCATGCCTACTTGCTGAGCCTCCCTCAGAGCACCCTGGAATGTTGAGGAAAGAAAACTATTTTTAGCTCTACTCTTCAGAAGCTTTCTTTCCCTTCCTTTTGGTTCCCTGGGACTCTGGCTTGTAAATCACTTCACTCCTTAGCAGACTGGTTGGGCAGGACTGGCTGCATTCTGCAAGCTTGGCAAGCTCATCACCACAGTTCTTGCAATTTGCAAAAGGTGAGAGCTTTGCTGTGGGAAGAGCTGTGGCTTCTGCACTTGTCAGTAGCCTCTTGGGAAGGAACACTGGGAAGCAGTTTTTCTGACTGTTCTTGCCCTAAATCTGCCATACCGTGAAAAATAATAGCCAAAAATATTATTCCCAAGGTTTCTCTAGGGTCCCTTGTGCATAATAAACAGAATTACCTCAAGATGGATATTAACTGTCACGCTGGCAGGCCTAGGACATGCCATCTTATAAAGCCTGCCTTTGTATAAAACCTGTCCTAGTAAACTCCCAAAGCAGGATATCTGATGAGAAGCCTTTGTGAGGAAGACCACGCTACCTCACATAACAGCCAGAAAGGACTTCAAAATGTTACTTAGCACTGAGACACTGCAGTAGGGGTAAAATCTAAATTAGTCTTTTTTATAAAGCTCTAGATTTTCTACTCTGATTGCTCTGCACATACCCGTGTTTTCTGTGAGAAAGAAGATTGGCCCTCTTAGAAAACTGAGCAGAAAATGAGATCACACAGTCTGTTATATAACTTTGCTTAGTGTTGACTTTAATTCATACATGTGTATGTGTCCTTTGTGTAGGTCTATGACACTTCACCTGCAAAGAAGAGACCGATTTCCCTGGCCTCCTTACCACAATGATTGGGAAACAGTTTATCCCATGTACCGCTAGAACTTACTAAGGTAACCTGTTGTAAGTTACTGTCCCAAGAGCAAACCCATCAAAAGTAATGGTCATAAAAAGAAGAAAGGAAAATAAAAACTAAATTATTATGCTAGAGAAGCTGACAGAAAAACATGTCTAAAGTTCTTTTGAGATGTGTGTTTGAGGATGTGAAAGCACACGTTTCCCAGGCAGATATTGGGGTGACCGGGGTCAGGGTGCACTCCAGAGAGGGGAGCAACTTATGCAAAGATCTGAATGTGAGATTTAGCCCTGCTTGTCTGGCAAGTCTGGAGCAAAATACATTGCGAAGAAACCATCACTACTGACTTGAGAAGATATCCAGAGGCATAAACCTCCGGTAGGAAATAAAAAATATTGGTAACTAACTACTCCTGCTTTGTGTAGAGATGGCTGACTCCCTTTCTGCTATTGCTCTGGCCCTTTCTCCACTCCTCCTCCTCCTACCAGGGGTGCTCAGTAACCTCTGTTCTTTCTTTAACTGGCAACAACCCAGTTTCCCCTGAAGATCCATCCATATCTCTTACTCTCACACTATGAAATTTGGACACAGCCAGAACATCTCCTAACTCTAGGGTAGGCTCATTGGCACTAGCCAATGAGGACGTAAGATTTACCGGCCACTGGCCGTGTGCATGTGACTCAAGTTGGATCATTAAATCCAGGAATTTCACCACATGTATGGAGAAAGGAGCGCTGCATAAATCACAGTACCTTTGTTTCGCTGGGGAAGGTGAACCGAAATGTAAGCCTAGAATTGCTTTTAATCATATTTGTCACCACTTGAAGAACTAGCCTGAGAATAAACCAATATTGAAGCCAGCAGAGCTGAGAGACAGAGAATGACAAATTATTTTTTTGAGTATCTGGATCTTGCTATGCTTGAAGCTACTTCAGCCCCTTGTTTTTCAGCAACATGAAGCAATAAATCCTTTTTCCAATTAGATACATGTTTTTTACAAACCACGGCTTCTGAGGGCCTAGCTCACTGTCACTTCAGTGACTGACTATGCTTTGGAGCATTTGTTAACTGGGTTTGACTCAAGGACCTGAGTGTTAGAAAATACTGTTAAGCACTCCAAGGAGGATCATTATTCAACGAGGAAATATAGGACCACCAAATGGGACCATTCTTAACTACTCTAACTTCTCATACTGCATCTGCCTTTTAATAAATATTTGCCTGAAACATTCACCTAGAAGAACTGCCCACTTCAAAGACAAAACTCTAGCATTAAAGGATAGATTCATCCTTAGTTAGACAGTACTAAGGATCTTAGTGGGTCTACATGGTCACTTTGGGTCAAGTCAGTTCTTTAATTTCCCATTCTAATTTCTCTGCCTTGCTTAAAAATAATATTGTTCCTGCTGGAATATCTCATCTACTGACTGGTAGCAATTATTACTCAAGTCTATGTATCCACTGAAGCTATTAAAGTTAGGAGGATTTGGAATCCAGCAGGTTTCAGGTTAATTTTGGTTTCATAAAATATCCACTATTTGACTGTAGACAATTACTTAGCTTGTATAAGCCTCATTTTCCTCATCTATAAAGCAGTCTCATGATCAATACCTAACATGTGGAATTGTTGAAACTAAAAACCAATGATAACAATACATCAAGCCTATCATTCCAGTCCACTGTAATCAGATTTCTGCTTATTTTCTAATCTTTCCCCCATTGTGCACCCCTCACATAATACAGTACCAGCAACATGGATTACATACTATATCTGACTGTGCTTGATACCTCCAATATTGTGACTCTAAATGTATGGCTGCTTTCACCTAGAATACCTTACCACCTCACCTATCTTTAAGACCCAGCTCAGATTTTACCTCTTACATGAATCTTTCTTTTGATAAGGTCAACTTCTTCCTTTTGATCTCCTGGGGAATCTCTGAGTGCAAGCAGTCCATTTACCATCCTACATTGGATATTTGCCTTCATTCGTATGTTGTATCCCCAATTAGATTTTCATACAAACTTTCTATTGTCCTATCTAAGGTGCTATGCATAAATATTGCTCAACAAATATCTTCTAAATATTTTTTCTCCCAATCAATCATTTGTCATTGAGTAATACTAAAATTGTAACAAATAAATTTTAAAAGGGACCCTACTTCCCTAGGTCCATAACCCCACAAAAGGCTCACAGCTTGAGTTAAGGCCTGTCTTCTGCTTTTGAATTTTCAATTGGAAACATATGGTGATTTGGAAGAAAGCCATTTTTCTCTTCTTTCTTTTTTTCCCCTCTGAAAAAAATCCTTTAAAGCCTCACTAAATATGTCAAGAAACAGCAATGAAAATGTCAAGAAATTGTAATACTGTTTATTGCAAAGCACACCACACACACACACACACACACACACACACACACACACACACACAACTGTTGGCATGTTTACAAAGTTCCAAGTTGAAAAAACAAGGGCTAACTTTAGATTTTGGATTTTTCCTTCAAGTCATAATAAGAAAGAAATACAAACATCGACTGAAAATCCCAGTGCACCAAACCTCTTAGTCATACCCACCAGGCACTTTAAAAAGCCAATTTTCTAGAAAAAAGATTCTAATTATTAGTTCATTGAATCATGAATCCTGCTGCCTTGATGAACAGAAGGGATTGAAAATGCCACTGCTGGAGTCTTATATTCCATTTTTGGATGGGGCCATCAGAAATGGAACCCATATCTCACATATTCTTTCCTAACCCACTTCCCATCTCCCTGGAAGCAATATTTAAGACTTTCTCAGACAAGAACCCAGAAGAAAATGAGCAAACCCAGCTCCCATCAACAGCAATGCCAATCTTTTGACAGCCCGTAATCATCACAGCAATCAGTGATGAATCATGAACAGAAATTTTGACTTTACTTGGGACATTCCCAGCTAGTACTGATGAGTCCTTACTAACAAATCTCTTGACTTTCTAAATGCTCTGATGATAATGGCTCACTTCTCAGTACAGAAGACAAAGGTGTGTGTATTAACTGTTTTGCTTTCTTCAAGAGAAATTCTGACTATTGAGCCAGTGGGGTCCCAGAAGAAATGCTGTGTCTTTTTAGGAGCACTTCAGGAGTCTCACTCTTACCTTTTATTTCTGCTCTTTTCCAACTTGTAAGGAAGGGTAGACATCTTGAAACCAAAGTAAAGAGAAGCTTCAAGATGTTTGTGTGTTATATGATCATTTGTTCTATATGTATCATCCCTGCAGCAAACTTTTTTCCCCTACAATCACTAGGGTTTCATTAATAAGGGATCTCCATCATTAGTCAAACCATTACTCATAAGTAGTCTCAGATTCTTTGTGAGATGTTCCCTCTCCCCTTGTCCTCTGGGAACATTCTTGTAGTCAAGGCCTTAGAAACGCATTAATAATACCTTCATTTGTTATTCACTATCATCTTTTGTTTTCCATGTAGGTAAGCTATTCTTCCCAAACAAATAGGTGTATCTTATTTGAGTATTATGTTTAAGAGAATTGTGAAGCAGAAAATTTGTGTCTAACCATATCTCTGTAACTTCCCAGACATGTGACATTAAATTACTTATTTTCTATATGTGACTTTATCTTGCAGTGAGAATAATAATTGTATTTAGTTCATGGAAACAAAATGACTATTAAAGGAGTTAATAGAGGTCAGATACTTTGAACAGACCTAGACAAATGTAATCTTGAAATAATATTATGTGTTAAGTCCCTCACTAACTTTTGTTATGTTTGTCTTTTTGAGACAAGTTTTCACTATGCAAATCAGGTTGACTTTGAACTAATTTATACACACACACACACACACACACACACACACACAATATGAATGCTTCATGAATTTGCATGTCATCCTGATGCAAGGGCCATACTATTCTCTATTGTCCCAATTTTACTGTATGTGTTGCTGCAGTGCGTACTAAACTCACTTTTATAATAGTCTACACCACAAATTGGCTCATCTATAAAATATCTAATGGTTGCCTGCTATAGTTCAAGGACAAAATGTGTTATTGTGTCACATGTACCATAAACGAGCTATTATGTGCTAATAATATAGAAAGGAATGATATTAACAAGGGATTTACTATCTTGAGAGATAAACAAAATAAACAAACAAGTATAGTAATGTAACAAAGCACATAAAATGTATAGCACAAGACAATGATTTTTAATGTAGGTTTTGTAGAAATAAAGTAAGGGTTAAAGTGTTATGGGGTGAAGTGTGTCAGACGCTAGGGGCATATTTTGAGTAATCAATAGCATCTAATTACCAGATCTGGAGAAAGGTTCACTGACAATCTATTGCTAAATTAGCAGCTGTGCACAGCAAGTCCACCTCTGAACATCCAATTAGAAAGAAGACTGTGGAGAATGAAACAAAATGGTAAAGTAGGCTAAATCTTTCCTGGGCAGTACATCTCTTATTTTAAGCACCCATTCATCTAGTTCAATTTCTCAGAGCATGTTTGCTAATCCCTGCTTCCCAGAGCTGTCCAAGGAAATTTAATCAGTGATTTAATCTGCAGAACTTTCATTTCCCCAACAAAATTGGCCCATCCTAAGTCCTCTTCCCTGAGGCTTCTGAGTTCAGTGCTTTAGGATTAGAGCTGATTTATTCTGTAAAATATTCTAGGCATGTTTTGTAGTGGTGCTTATGTGTCAAAGGGAAAGGCCTTGTTACTCTGAAATCGTCATCCAGCTTTATGATGAGTTTTCGAAACTATTGTCCCAAATGAGGTTGCCTTAGTAGGAATTTTGTGATAGAAAAGAAATTTATATCTTAAGGGCACATAAGACCTTATGATACTTGAAACATTTTCACAATCTAAGACTTCAGCCTTATTTGGGCAATTGTGATTTTGTTAATCATTATTCTTGAGTCACAAACACACATACCTGATGTTATAGTTGATACATTGTGTCAATTGAGAAGTTTAGAAGTTGAACTGAGAGACTCAGCAGGGAGCCAGGATCCTTACTTTGTAAATATCCTCATTCTGTACAAGAGCAGGGCACAGAGATTTTGTGAGAGCTACATCTGCCCTGAGGGGACAGGGGTGGGGGGGTGGGGGAGTGGGGGGTGGGAGGGTGGTAGCCTGGATGTGATGTAAGGGTGGAAAGGGTGTTCTCCTCCCTTTTACTCTGGCTGCTTTTGCTGGCTGCAGCCTTGAAGTATTGCCTCTGTGCCATGCCAACCTGCCTTAGAGCCAGATGATTATGGACTGACAGCTCCACAAACAGTGAGCTAATAAACCTTTCCTTTCCTCATTTTGGGTGATAGATAATTTGTCTCAGCAATAAAAGAAAAGTAACCAAGACAGAATTTGGTAGCAGAGATGTGGGGTCATTGCTGTGTTGGAAATGGATTTGGAAAGTTTCAGAGATGTCGCCTGAAGGAGTTGAACTAGAATGTTTTTTTTTTTTTTAAATTTTATTTAAGGAGAAAAAAGAAGCAGAGAAAGGGTACAAGTTATACAGATTTACAGAAAAAAATAAACAGTAGGAAATCACTAGTTAATGGATTACATATTGTCATCTTAGAAATAATTGTTCAAGTCACAAAATTAAAGCTTGTAAAGTGGACATTCCAACAGTGAGACTGCAAACGGTTCTGTTCAATGATCCAATACAACTCAGTGATATCATTTTCTATCTTATACACTTAAACATACATGCAGTTATATCATTTAGGGTTACTGGAATGTTTTAGGCTGTTCTGTATGGAAATTCTGGTCTGAGCTCAGAAGACCAAACCACCAGCCATGGGAAATTTCTGCTGGAAAGAAGGACTGCATTGGTTGTTGGACATCAGGCAACATGGCTTGACAAAAAACTTGTCTGTGTTTTGCTCATGTCCAGAGACTTTACCTGAGACTAAGATTAAGGGCGGCAGACTAACTGATCTGGCAGAAGAAATTTTAAGACAGTTGAATGTTGGGGTGGCGGCATGGTTATTGTTGGGGGTTTTTAGACAGGTTTATATTGTGAATCAAGAGCAAAGAACCCAGCAGGATGATTTAAAATGTTGTGGATTTGCCAGAAAGGAAGCTTCAGTAAACCTGTGGACTGTAAAGATGGAGCAGAGATCTCCATCACTGAGAAGGAACAGAATAGAAAAGATAGCCTGCAGGCATTACAAAAAGCAGCAAGTCTTGAACTTTTGCAGCTTCAAAACTGCCTCTGCTTTGAGGTGAAAGTCACAGAACACAGTGTTTCAAAATGATGGTGGCCACACCATGTTCCAGAATGGGAGCAGTATAGAAAATTTTGTCCTCAGAGCTGGATTCAGAGTGTCCAGAAATCTAGGCGTTTAACCTAAAGCCAAGAGAGAGGAAAGCCTGGCTATGACTCCTGCTGGCAGCAGACCTCAGCATTATCCACTGGTTTTAGGTACACATAGAACACAAGAGTTCCAAGGTTGAAAAGCTTTCCATCCTAATTTCAGAAGGCCTGGGAGACCAGGCAGTGTGCCCCTGAGAGGACAGTATGTGAAGTGATGGGTGTGAAGCCCAAGATGCAGTGAAGACCCCAGTAGTCTGGAAAAGCCAGGAGCATAGATCATCTAAGGAAACCTGCATGAAGGGAGCAAAGCCAGCCCAAGACAGATGCTGTGGGAGCTACAACCATCAGAAGTGCCATGGGAGTGGAGTCATTCAAGCCCTTTGGAGCTCACAACCAAATTGCTTCATATGCCAGATGTGAACTGCAGGACTTAATGTTTGCCCTGTTGGATTTTGGACTTGCTTTTAGTACCATTCCTTTGTGTCCTCCTGTTTGTACCCTTTGGAATATCTTGTGCCATGGAATGTTGGAAGTGTTTAACTCTGTTTCCATTTGAGAGGGGCTTGCAGCTGGAGTCTGCCATACATCTTGGACAAGACTTGGGACTTTGACTTTTCAGCAATGCTGAAAGTGTTAGGACTGTGGCAAGTCTTGCAGATGGACTAAATGCCTTTTGCATAAAGGGATGTGGGTGAGTCCTTGGGGGCCAAGGGTGGGATGTTATGGTTCTAATGTAATATAATGTTGATAGACTTAATGCTGGCTCTTAAGAATTGTTAAACCTGTGTTACAATGTTCAAATTGTGAAAGATATGAATAAGCATGTCTTGAATCTGAAAACAGGTTTAAAGAAATGTGCCTGGTGCCATGTTGACAAGGAGTGGATTGTTATGGTTGATATACTACATCAATTTGAGAAGTTTAAAAGTTTAACTAATAAATACAGCAGGGAGCCAGGATCCTTACTTTGTAAACATCGTCATCTTTTGCAAATGGAAGGTACAGAGATTTTTGTGAGTGCTATATCTGCCAAGGGGAGGGGGGTGGTGGTGGGTGGCCTGCATACAATATAAGGGAGGAAAAAAAAGGCTTTATCAGCCCCCATTATTGCACTTGTTGCTTTTCTGTCTTCTTCTGCCTTCAAGAGTTGCTGTAGTGCCATACCATTCTACCTTGGATCCAGCTGATTATGGACTGAAACCTCCAGAAACTGTGAGCTAAATAAACCTTTTCTTCCTTAATTTTTGGTGTTGGGTATTTTGTCTCCGCAACAAGAGAAAAGTAACCAAGACACCTGGGTACAAATTTTGGTACTTGGTATGTAATTATCAGAAAGTACCTATTGTCCATTGCTTCTTCATCTGTACAGTAAGTGGACTGATACTACTTTGTATTACAAGTTTTTAATAAGGATTTAAAAGGTTAGTACACAATCATGTCTTCTAAAAATGTTTATGCAGAATCTCTTTCTTTCATCAAACTGGGGATTAATTTATATAGCTGTTTTTTAGAGTGGAGCTTTTGGTACAAATGTAAATATAATTCTTTGCCTGACCTAACCTTGGGCAGAAAACAGCTTCTATAGGTTGGGCACATTGGAACTATGTTTTGTTTAGTGGTTTTAAAATATTCACCAGAAAAGAATCTGACCCATCAAAAAATGTTAGGTTATCAATTAGAAGAAACATTTTTTAACTGAAGGACATTTGAATGAGAAATTTAAGAGAGAAAGACAACCCCAAGGAATGTTCCATGGGATGATTAAAGGAAAACCTAAAGTCATTTGAGAGAAATGGCAGCAAGGATTCAAGGCAGCTTTGGAGAGAAACTGACAAAAGGCTTTGTGCTGGTAACACGGTGTGGAAGGGTGGGAGAAAGAAATATTCTTTCTCAGAATTAAGTCTGCGAATGAACCAAGGTATGACTAGAATGATGAAAAGGTGGGTAATTTTGTTCTGGGAGAAATGTCATTGTCATTCTCTACACAGAAAGAAAGCAGAATTTGTAGCAATTGAGTGAGAATATAGGTATTTCTTTCATACCTAGCTGTGTGCATTTCCCTTATCATAGCTACCCTGCTTGCCAGTTCTAGCAGCATCAATCACAGACCAGAGTACACAATATGAATAGATCTTGTGGGCAAAATTCAATTGTGTTTCATATGAGTGGTATCCCTGGAAGTTTGCAAGGAGCCAGCCTTGCTTTTAAGCTCTTGCTCAAATTACACTATTTTTATTGCTCAAAGGAATCTGTCACTGAAGTATTATTTTGCTAGTAAAATGACATTTGCCAGCTTGAGAAATAAATTGATCATTTATAAAGTATAATCTCTGGAGCACTGCACAGAAATTCTCTGGAATGTTTTCTTCAATACAGAGTTCTGGGTCATACTTAGATTTAGATTTCCATGGGCATGGAAATATAGCAATCTGGTTTTCATAAGCATGCTAAGTATCGTAAGATACATTAATGTTTGAGGTCCATATAAACAGAGATTGTTTGTCTCTTAGAGATATTAGAGTAAATTAAAGGAAAAAATAGAAGAAAGAAAATGAGCAATACTGTTTGTCACTTCCCCCCCCCCCCGAACTTTAAATGTATATTCATCATACCTTTTCTCAGGTAACTCCCACAG